AAGAAAGACACAAATACACACATGAGCCTAGGGCTACACAGGATCAAGGAGCATCAATATCACTGCCTTCCATTTCCACATCTTGTCCCACTGGAAGGTCCTAAGGGGCAATAATAGGCATGGAGCTGTCATCTCTTACGGCAATATCTTCCTCTGAAATACCTTGTGAAGGACCTGCCTGAGGCTGTTTTACTGTTAATTTAAAAAAAAATTAAGTAGAAAAAATACACTCTAAAATAACAATAAAAAGTATAGTAAGTAAATGCAGAAACCAGTAACATAGTCATATTATCAATATCAAATATTATGTGTTACACATAATCATATGTGTTATACTTTGATACAACTGGCAGTGTAATAGGTTTGTTTACACCAGCATCAATACAAACAAGTAAGCAATTGTTGTGCTACAACGTTACCATGGCTACTATGTCACTAGGCAATAGGAATTTTTCAGCTTCATTATAATCTTATGGGACCACAGTTGTACATGTGGTCCATCACTGACTGAAACATTGTTATGCAGCGCATGATTGTACTTTTAAAATTTAAGTGCTTTTGCTAAATGGTTACATACCATATATTCTAGTCTATATCTTCTGTGCATATGATGTCAGCTATTACAATATGCATAGAAGGTATAGGCTAGAATTCATGGTGTGTTATTTATACATAAATAAAAATTATAAATAGATCTCTTTGCTTATATATGCAAAGGCTATCTCCGAAGGATATATGAATTGATAACATGTATGTTTCTGGGGAGGGGAACTAGATTAGGAATCAGAGATGGAAGCAAGACTTACTTTTCAGTGTAAACCTTTAGGTTTCATATTACTTGTATTTTATGCTAGGGATTAAGAAAATAATGCAGCTGGGTATGGTGGCTCTCACCTATAATCCTAGCACTTTGGGAGGCCAACAAAGGCAGATCACTTGATCCTGGTTTGAGACCAGCCTGGACAACATGGTGAAACCCCATCTCTACAAAAAATACAAAAATTAGCTGGGCATGATGGCACATGCCTTTAGTCCCAGCTACTCGGGAGGATGAAGCAGGAGAATCACTTGAGCCCGGGAAGTCAAGACTGCAGTGAGCCGAGATAGCGCCACTGCACTCCAACCTGGGTGACACAGTGAGACCGTATCTCAAAAAAAAAAAAAAAAAAAAAAAAAAAAAAAAAAAATATATATATATATATATATATGTATGTATAATAATAATAATGCAAAGTAATACTTGCAAATAGTATATACTTGAATTATTTTCCATAAGTATGTATTATCTTTTAAATTAACAAATAAAATATATTAAAATAGATGGTACTTTTTTTTTGATAGAGACAGTCTTGCTCTGTTGCGCAAGCTGGGGTACAGTGGCACAATCATGGCTCACTGCAGCTTCAAATTTCTGGGCTCAAATAATCCTCCTGCTTCAGCCTCCTAAACAGCTGGGATTATAGATGTGTGCCACCACACCTGGCTAATTTTTTACTTTTTGTAGAAAGGGTGGTCTCCCTGTGTTGCCCAGGCTGGTCTTGAACTCCTGGCCTCAAGCCATCCTCCCACTTTGGCCTCCCAAAGTGCTGGGACTACAGGTGTCAGCCACTGCACCTGGCCTTAGGTGGCACTCTTTTGTATGAAAAAATATTGGAGAAAATACACTAAAATGTTAATATTCATAGTTTCTGAGTGGGCAGGATGTCAGTTAATTTTAAATTCTCTTTTTTATACTTTTGTATAATATAATTTTCAAATTTTTTATAATGAATACATTCATAGAAGAATTTTTTTCTTGTAAACAAAGAAAGATGACTGGCAGCAGAGTGGAGGATGGTGTGAAGTGGTTGCTTTCTTTGTTTTAATGTAGAAAAAGCATAATGTGGGCCAGGCGCGGTGGCTCAAGCCTGTAATCCCAGCACTTTGGGAGGCTGAGGCGGGTGGATCACGAGGTCAAGAGATCAAGACCATCCTGGTCAACATGGCGAAACCCCGTCTCTACTAAAAATACAAAAAATTAGCTGGGCATGGTGGCGTGTGCCTGTAATCCCAGCTACTCAGGAGGCTGAGGCAGGAGAATTGCCTGAACCCAGGAGGCGGAGGTTGCGGTGAGCCGAGATTGCACCATTG